ATTTTAATATATATATTTATTTAAACTTAAATTAATATATATATAAATATATACTAAGCTTACTCTGAATTAACTAAAGAAATAAATCATAAAAATATGACACATTTTAATGATATGTTTATTTGTTTAAATTATATTTTTAAAGATTATTATTCATTTTTTTTTAATATTAAGTATAATATCTCTCTCCTAATTGTATTTCTTCACTCATTTCATTTTATTATTCAGCAGCAAATAAAACAATATCTTTACCATTGTTCATTATCTGGATTGTTTGTTTATTTACACACAAAACATCAAATTTACTATTAAAATATTTCATGAAATATGATTGAATAATATGTGCAACATTCTTTCATTCTTTAGTCATTGGATATCATCAAATTAACAAAATGTTTTATTTATTAATATATTTCTATACTATTTTTATTTATAACAAATGAAAAATCAAATGCCATAAAAATTATCAAAAGTATAAAAATATCTGAGTTTTCAAAATGTAAAAATTTTTATCAGTACATAAATTTATATATTGAATGATATACTTTAACGTTTCTTTAACAAAAACATATTTGACAGGAAAATTTTAAATATGGTATATTTATAAAGAATTCAAAATGATGATGATGGAAAAAAGTTTATTCAACAAATTTTACCGGTATTTATAGATAAAACATCACATTTCTATTAGCATACAAAGAAAAAAATAAATAAATGGATAAGATTTACACTTTTTTAAACTTAGAAAAAAAACAACTAATTATCTAACTTTTATTATGCCAAAATTTATTATGCATTTATCATTAAAAATTAGCAAAAAATATATGCTTATGAAAGTAAATCATCATTTATTTATTTTGTTTCCTTTTTTTCTTTGTATACTAACAGAAAAATGTTATTTGATTTATGAATAAAACGCCATTTCTAACTTTATTTTGGGTTTTTGTTCCTATTATTCCATTTAACATTTTTTTTTTTTTTTTTTTTTTTCTTGTGAAAAATTTTTGATTTAAATTTTTATGTTCTATTCATGGAACATTTACATTCCATTTTAGTTTTCAACCTGAAGATGGCCTATTAATTAGGCTGAAAACATTTGTTGTTTAAAATAATGTTTATTTCTCGGCAAAAAAGGTGTTTTGTTTCTCTTTAATTGCAGATATATATAATTTATATATGTGCAATTCTTTAACCATCAAAATAAATCAAATAAAAGTATGTTAACTTAGTAACAAACCCAAAACCAGAATTCTTTAAATAAGTCAGCTTATATAATAATTACATAATAATAAATATAATAAGTTTGCACTTCATGCTGATGTATACTATTACTATAATATTTTCAAGCTCCCACAAATTTGGATAACAGCTTTCAAACAACTTAACCCAAGATATTAATACTCCTTTGTTGCTCATATGCTTATTTTGCCTTGGTATGCACTACATGCATAAACTAAGCTCTTTTATAGCCATTTCTCACTATGATATTTATTTATTATCATTGTTATCTACACACTATGACGTAAGAACCTTTAAATAACATACGAAAATGATAATCAATTGAACCATTGGAAATATCGTTTGAAATATTCAATATTGAAATTTGTAAAACCGTCAAAATATCGTTCGAAAAGCTTAAACTATCGTATTCTATGTACCACCTGATAATGGTAATTTTACACTACTGAAAGTGCTAGTGGATAAGACCTTTCTCCAAAAGTTGGATAAATTTCCATATCTGGAACTCCACTCCTGTAACACCACTGCACATAAGTGTTATAGTAATAATAATAAATACAAATATGTGTAATTAGTTTGACTGTTCTTTCCTATTGATTAATTTTTTGATTATCAAAGATAAAGAAGTAACTTTAAGACAGAATGGAACTAGCAATTAACTGATTTCTTTCCTTAACATTAACAATAAAGCTATCCAATTATTGTAAAATGCCAATTTTCATTAAATTTTTTTACCACTTCACAAAATAATTTATTTTTTGTGAATTTCATTAGGTTTCATTTGAATTCCATTGGACTATTAAAAATTTCTGTAATAACAGGTATTTATATTGATCAAAAAATTGTAGAGTATCACTATTCTATGGACTGATGACTGAGAAACATTGGTTTAGCATATTGAAAATATTTACATTAATAAACAAGTCATAAAATCCAATGACTACATGACTATAATTGATATAAACCTCTATCTATAAAAGTTTTTTATATTTGTTTCCATTTATCTACAGATTTTTATCATAAGTATATTAAATACCTAAAAACTGAGTTCTTTTGGCTATAATTTTATTAAGCTTTAATTATCAAAACTTAAGTACTTTGATCTAAAGACAGACACTTAGCCTATCTTCTTGTGAGAACCCAGGCTATCATTTTTGTACTTTCAACAATCTTAATTATTTAATATTTGTTCAAAAAGTAAAATTATTTTATTTAAACCTGAACTGACAAATACAACAGAGGAAACTTGTAAGATTTTCCAACTGATAGCATTTCTTTCATAAATGACAAATGACATCTTTTTGAATTGTGCTCATCTCCACTGTGCTCCCCCACCAATCTTCTCAACTTCAAAGTGGCTAAGGTTCTACCGGACCTTAGCCACTCCAAACTAGAGAACAATTGACTGGAATCCATTGTGGATATTAATATTTCAAATTTTTGGATTCAAGGCTCATCATAAACAAGTGAGAGACTTTCCTTCCTCTCTTCAGGACATCCAAGATGGCCAGTTCAAACATCCTAGATTCAAGTGTTTATTGACTCGCAGACACAGCTGTAAACACATTCTCTCTCTCATATATGCATGCATAAAAGTTTAGACTCTCCCTCTATTTCTATTTTCTCTGTACATTTTTATTCACTTGAAAAATAAATATGTTGTTGTTTTATGATTTAATGCAAAGTGAAATACATTATTTCCAGTGTACTCTCTCTCAACTCTTTCCTCTGCCCTGGGCCCATTCATTCCCTCATACATGAACACTCACGCAATAATTATTCAGAAGATTCCTGTGTGCCTGAAATCATGAGTGGTGTCAGTTCTGACTTCGGCACTGCCGATATAGCCATCCCAGTGCTAACTTAAGTCACGTTTTATTATTAATTAAATTTATTTTAGAATTAACTTAAACAAAATAATATGATAACTTCCCAGTTTTAGACTAAATTATTATTTATAACATTAAAGCTCATTTATATAAAATGAAGTTAAATGTAAACATAAAATACAATTCATGAAAGTATTTACATTTAATTTAAAATATGATTTTTTAAAACTCACCTGTATATTAGGATCATTTGGCAAGCAAAGAAAAGGATATTTTTCCTTCTTAATTTCAAGTTCTGTTTTTTCTACTTTTTTAGAACTTTCTTTACTTAACTCTTCTTCTAATTTTGATTTTATTCTTTTAGGCTTCATGTGTTGTATTATTCGAAGAAGATTTGAAATAAAAGAATCCTAAAAATTTTAATTTAACATTTATATAAAATATTCTATAAATAATTTTGTATAACAATATATAAACAATAAAACAAAACCAACAGCTTAGATTTAACAAACTACACAAAACCAGTACAACTGCTCTTTATAATGTGTTTTTATTAATGTACCTTAAAAAAGTTCAAATATTATAAATATTTTAAAAAAAAAATTATATCTCATATTAATAAAAGATTTTAACTTAATAAATGTTATCTGCCAATCTTTTCTAACATTGATAATTTTGAGAGGAAGTTTCTTCTTCATATACATAACTTTTCAATTTTAACTGTGTTACTGATTTTTAAACTAGAAAAATAAATTTCTTGGATATGACATTTTAACAAAATATCATATCCAAGAAATGCATATATAAATCATAACTTCAGTTCTGATCATATTCCCCTATCTTTAGCAATATCATTGAACCATAACTAAGTAGCAAAAATATTTAAATTAAACATCACATTTGATTAGAAAAGACTGATACCAAATTTCTTTTATTTATTACATTAGAATTGATCATTTCTGTATAATACATCCAGAGTGGAAACTTCCTATATCTTCTCTGACTGCATTTACTTTTAGACTCAACTGATCATGATCCATTGTCCAATCACATGAAAGAGCAACTGGCAAGCACAGTAAAAAGCAAACAAGATATTTTTTATGGATTTGTTCAAGTTATTTAATATGATAATAGTCATCCAGTGTCTATAGATTTTACTCATTGTATTCAAAATAAATAAAAAAAGTTTCTCTAATTACTTTGGTATTTCAAATACATCTGACTTTGATTCTTGGAAGAGTGTTATCAGAGCAGACATTGCTTCAACAACTAAAAATTTATTACACAATTCATCAGATGACGATAACAATGTTGAGAAAAACTACAAAAATTCAAGAGCTATGCAGAGTATATAATATGATAAGACTTCTGATCAATTTAAGGCTCATTTTAAATTAACTTGAAACTAGTTTGAATTACTTCTTGGCAAATGATCAAATGATTTAAATTAAAATTTATATCAAAACAGCTAAATTCCATTCCATTATAATAAAAAGCTATCAATACTAACTTTCCTTTCATTCAGGTATTTGTCACCTGGCTCTAAAGAAAACAAATACCCATTTCACTTGTCAGAACAAATGTTTGAAAAATATTTCATGATATCCAAAACTATGTGAACAAATGGAATTACATTAAAGGACACAATATTTTCACAGAACAAAAATAACTCCACATCCTCACTCCAAAGAATATGAGAATCAAGTGTGCTCAGAGTAATAGTTGCATACAAAAGTAACAACAAGAGGCAAATTCAGATTGCTAAAGTAAAATATCTGAACAGCTCTTTACCTCAGATTATGCTCAGAGCATAAAAGTAAATCAGCCTACACTACAGATTATAAAGTCATATGATAAATTTAAGCCAATCAGAATGCAAGGCTAAACTAAATTCAGTTAGAAGGCTATTGCAATCAACACTTTTATGACATTATTACTGGAGAATGCGTTTTTATTAATTTACTTTTAATAATAATTAATAACTGATATGCAATAACATATTTTTTATTAATGTATTTCCATTGTTTTATGTACTTTATTCTTTAAAATATATTACACTTGCCAATATTTAATATAATCAAAAGTCACAATTATTTACTTTAAAACTTTGGCAACATAATTAAAAAAAAGTTCATAAGTAATTTTTTAAGATTACAAAAAATACTATTGTAGATTATTTTTCTTTTATACTTTATGTATTTTGTTTTCTCTATTTCCAAATTGTACAATACATTTAATATAAATTTTAGAACCAAATCATAAAGATAATTATATCATTTATTATTCACAAAAACAACATAGGGAAACAGAATGGCAGACACAGTGTATTCAGCATAACATAGTCTAATGTTAATTTGTGTTTTGTTTTGATCAATTTGGCTAATATAAACTCTAATTTGAAAGCCAAATTAGCTAAATAGTTACATACAGAAAGTAGATTGAAGGAATCATGAGCATGCCCTATTTTATGACTTTTACAAGCTCTGTTTCTTAATTTATTCAATAGGCAATTTTAAAATTAAACACACACTTAAAAGAAGAAAAATATCATTACTTACTGAAAATTCTGCTCCATTTTTTACAAGAGCTTCTTTAAATTTATCAAAAGAATCATTTTTGTCAGCTAACGCAATAATGAACTCAGCTATAAAATAAAATTTTCAAAGTCACTTTCAAAATTCAATTATTTTTATTCTAATAATTCTGAATTTCAATTATAACTATTACATTCATATCACATACAGTATATTTAATGTATAAATTTAAATATATATATATATATATTTCCTTAAAAATCATTTCTTTTCATTGCAAACTCAAAGGAAAAAAAAACAAAAATTTAAAAATCTTTTATGCAAAACTAATTTCATCATTAAAATAAATTAATAATGTATAGTAATTATAAAAATTATTATTTCAAAATAATACAACCTCAAGATGAAAATATCAGACCTCTCCAATTGAAATGTAACATACTACTTTTTAGGTCCAAATACACTAAGTGAAAACCAGGGCTGTGGAGTCACGTAAAAATCTACCGACTCCAAATCTAACTTTTCCTTACCATCCGACTCCAACCAGGGGCGGATTTGTTACCGAAAGAAACCCGGAAATGTTGATGTTATCATGTGACCTCAGAATAAAATATTCAATAAATAGAGTTGTAATAAAGATAGAGCATAGAAACTTTTTATTCCAAAGCTAAAAGACTTCTCTAAGTAATATATAAATATGTATTCGATAATTTTTACTTTTCCGGCTGTTATATATAACAGAGGAAAAGTGTAGCACTCGGTCAAAAAATGACCCCTCCCAAATTTTTACAGTTTTGGACTTGGGACACCTTGAAATTTCAAGATATGCAAAAGATTCGAGGTTTTTTCTATGTGTGGGGATGTTAGACTGTGTGAGGG